CTCCCATGTCTCTGTTCAACTTTATTCAAGGCAGATAAAATGTAGTTATTGGACACTTTGATATGTTGAAAATAGGTGCAGACATTTAATGATGGGAAAGTTCATGACTCAGTAAAGATTGCTCCCTAGCTGGTAGCTTAGGACAGAAAACTATAAAATCAAATTATGATAATCAGTGGAGTCAGGAGAAAAAAGTAGGCCCACTGAGCTCTATTTACTGAATTTCTGACTTCATTATACACCAACCTACTTTTCAAGCACAAGGAACAGATTTTTGATAATCTCAGTAGATTTGCAAAGTAAACTATTTTGTGATTACTATGTGAGTTTTTGGGGGAGACAAGTTTGTAAGGGAAGGGACTGGGGCTAGATGAAGCATAAAATCATAAAGAATAAAAACAACCTGCTTGCACCACAATCTACTCACATGTATCTGGAATTTACCTTTTGAAGAGTTGGTTTGACTTTAAAGCTGTGAAAAGAGATGTGGTTGTCTTGGTTTTTACCACTAAAAATCATTTTTTCCCAAACAACATTTCCATCACATAGCAGTGTCTACCTGTCTTGACATAAGAGTTAAACCATTGATCTGAGGCTTAAATAGGATTTTGAGCTGCAATGGTCTATTTTATCACATGTTACTTATGTGTTGAGTCAGCAAGGCCAAATACACTTCTAGTAGACATCAAATCTAGACAGCTGGGGTCTGCAAGTTCTTTATTTTTTAGCCTTCACTCAGATCTGTGTTTCACGGGGAGGGTCAACATTTTCTACCTGTGACATTAAGAGTATCTATATCTTGGACTGTGCCCTTGACTGAAAAATCTTGTTGATGATTTTATATGGAATATCAGCCTTGGTCTGTCAAATTACACAGCTGCTGGCACTAATAGGGGGCCTTCCTTTTGGTATGCTTGTTAATATTTACAGAGTTCTTACTATGTACTTCATTGCTTTTTGTTTGTTTGCTAAACATTATTTTTTTCTTTTAACCATTCTGTAGCAGTAAGGTATTGCTATACAAGTTCAGTGATGTATACATAAGCATTTGTTATTCCTGCTTGAGGGTGGCCAGTCAAGCGGCCTTTGTCTGGATTGGTCACTTATCTGGGTGTCAGTTAGGGTCACTGGGTGATAGATGACATGTCTCTGCTCCATGTCTTGCATCCTCTGGCAGGCAGGCAGGTCCTCATGATGGTGGCAGAAGGCCAACCAGGATACATAAGACTCTTGAAACTTAGACTCAAACTGCCATCATTTCCAACACATTCTATCAGCCAAAGCAAGGTCAACCCAGATATAAAGGATTCTTCTTTACTGAGAAACACTGTTAAGTGATCTGGCAAAGGGTGTACATACAGAGATAAAGAAGAACTGGGGCCCGTAACTGAGACTATCATCAGTTCAGTCGCTCAATCGTGTCCGACTCTTTGCGACCCCACGGACTGCAGCATGTCAGGCTTCCCTGTCCATCACCAACTCCCAGTGCTTGCTCAAACTCATGTCCATCGAGTTGGTGATGCCATCCAATCATCTCATCCTCTGTCATCCCCTTCTCTTCCTGCCTTCAATCTTGCCCAGAATCAGGGTCTTTGCCAATGAGTCAGTTCTTCGCATCAGATGGTCAAAGTATTGAAGCTTCAGCTTCAGCATCAGTCCTTCCAATGAATATTCAGGACTGATCTCCTTTAGGATGGACTGGTTGGATTTCCTTGCAGTCCAAGGGACTCTCAAGAGTCTTCTCCAACACAGTTCAAAAGCATCAATTCTTTGGCGCTTAGCTTTCTTTATGGTCCAACTCTCACATCCATGTGACTACTGGAAAAACCGTAGCTTTGACTAGATGGACCTTTGTTGGCAAAGTAACATCTCTGCTTTTTAATATACTGTCTAGGTTGGTCATAGCTCTTCTTCCAAGGAGCAAGCATCTTTTAATTTTATGGCTGTAGTCACCAACTGCAGTGAGTTTTGAGCCCAAGAAAATAAAGTCTGTCACTGTTTCCATTGTTTCCCTATCTATTTGCCATGAAGTGATGGGACCAAATGCCATGATCTTAGTTTTTTGAATGTTGAGTTTTAAGCCAGCTTTTTCACTCTCCTCTTTTACTTTCATCAAGAAGCACTTTAGTTCCTCTTTGGTTTCTGCCATAAGGGTGGTGTTATCTGTGCATCTGAGGTTATTGATATTTCTCCCAGTAATGAAGCTAGTGCTTCATCGAGTACAGCATTTTGTATGATGTACTCTGCATATAAGTTAAATAAGCAGGGTGACAATATACAGCCTTGATGTACTCCTTTCCCAATGTGGAACCAGTTCATTGTTCCATGTCCAGTTCTGTTGCTTCTTGACTTGCATACAGATTTCTCAGGAGGCAGGTAAGGTGGTCTGGTATTCCCATCTCTTGAAAAATTGTCCACAGTGTGTCCTGATCCACACAGTCAAAGGCTTTGGCATGGTCAATAAAGTAGATGTTTTTCTGGAACTCTCTTGCTTTTTTTATGATCCAATGGATGTTGGCAATTTGATCTCTGGTTCCTCTGCCTTTTCTAAATCCAGCTTGAACATCTGGAAGTTCTCAGTGCACGTACTGTTGAAGTCTGGCTTGGAGAATTTTGAACATTAGGTTGCTAGTGTGTGCGTCTTCGCACACGTCTTGTGTAATTGTGTGGTAGTTTGAACATTCTTTGGCATTGCCTTTCTTTGGGATTGGAATGAAAACTGACTTTTTCCAGTCCTGTGGCCACTGCTCAGTTTTCCAAATTTGCTGGCATATTGAGTGCAGCACTTTGAGACTATCATATAGCTCATTAATCCTGACCATCATGCTATGAGTTTAGGTACTGTTATTATTCCCATTTTGCAGCAGAGGAAATTAATGCCTAGGATGTTTAATCAATGCTGTAAACAGAAAAAAAAATCTTCAGCTGGAAATTGAGAGAATCTGGGCGCTTGTTGCTGCACTAGGGAATTTGGTTGTAACAAACAGAAAACCTGTAGCTTATCAACTTGGTTTTTGAAAATCTCACATCACCATGGTGGAGTGAGTATCAATTTTAGTTTGCAAACTGAAATGCGCAATGGAACTGTATTCTCTGGATTTCGATCTAACTGTTAACTTGGAGCTCCCATTCTGCTGAACTGGCAGAAAAATTAAACTAAGTTCTTTCTGCAGATTATCTTCTGTCCTGGACATTTGTTATTGTTTCTGGCTGCTGAGTGAGTTCCCTTCTCAAGTCTGAGGAACCCTCATGTTTACAAAGCTGAGCTCACCTCCCACTTCTGATGAGGGAAAAGCACTAGATAAGTGATTCCCCAGCCTCCTTGCAAGTTCCAGATTCTGTTGAGAAGCTTGTGAAAGAAAAGAATGCACAGGATCCATTCTGACTGTAGTAAAAGCAGTGGTCATATCTAAGTAGAGGTAGAAGCTGTTCTGATGTCAGTGTCTGATGTCCAGCATGGTTTAAACTACAGTGTCTGTGCCCAGTGCTGGCCATAGGAGGGGTCACCTTCAGACCAGCCTCACAGTTCAGTTTTAGTTTTTAGGCTATTCTGACTGCATACGTGTGTGCTCAGTAGCTCAATCATGTCCGACTCTTTGCGACCCCATGGACTGTAACCCACCAGGCTCCTCTATCCATGGGATTTCCCAGGCAAGAATATTGTAATGGGTTGCCATTTCCTTAAGGATCTTCGCAACCCAGGGATCGAAGCTACATCTCCTGCGGCTCCTGCATTAGCTGGCAGATTTTTTTTTAAACCACTGAGCCACCTTGAAGGCCCTTCAGATCTTCTGAGAGATTCTGTGAGTTATAGTGGTTGTGCTAATTGCTCAGTTGTATCTGACTCTTTGCGACCCCACGTACTGTGGCCCACCAGGCTTCTTTGTCCATGGGATTTTTCCAAGCAAGAATACTGGAGAGGGTTGCCATTTCCTCCTCCAGGGAATACTCACGACCTAGGAATTGAACCTGCGTCACCTGCTTAGCAGGTGGGTTCTTTACCACTGAGCCACCAGGGAAGCCCATTTTGTATTGGGGTATAGCCAATTAACAACACTGTAATAGTTTCAGGTGAACAGCTAAAGGACTCAACCATACTTATGCGTGTATCCACTCTCCTCCAAGTTCCCCTCCCATCCAGGCTGCCACATAACACTGAGCAGAGTTCCCTGTGCTACATGTAGGTCCTTGCTGGTTATCGATTCTAAATACAGCACAGTTTAAATGTCCATCCCACTTGCTGCCTCTCTAGTGGACTATAGGAAGTGAGGTATAGGCCTCCCACCTCTGTGGGACCATAGACCATCCTTCTCTCTTTTGCTTAAATTCATCTTCTCCAGCCTGGAAGAAGTCTCCTCCTATTCTGGAGAAACGCCCTTTCCTACATATTTCAATCACTATATTAATACTTTGGGTTTGTTTTCTTTCTTTTCCTTTTAGTAGAAAAATTGGTTTGTTTTCAAACCTCCTCTCTATTTTAAAAGTCACATTTGTTAACTGCAGGATTTTTGGAAAAGAGCGCCTGGAAACCTTGAGGACAACTTGTGTTCTGTCCTGAGCTGTCGACTGCAGATCCAATGACCTGATTAAAAGCGAGGAAGCGAGCGAGGCCATGCAGGGAGAAAACTCCCCTTTTCCAGACAGTGACATCTTACAGGGTGTATGTCGGGACCGCTGGCAGAACTGGCCCAGTGTTTTGACCTCACGCCCTGACATTTATGCCTCTCCCTGCTCCACAGAACCTATGTTCCTGCTGAACCAAACCGTCACGGACAGAAGCCATTCACAATTCCCAGGAAATAAAAATAGAATCTGGGTAATAAAGTCTTACCTTTTTTGTCATCCCTTTGTGCTTCCTCTGGTGTCCCTGGCTCACAGGCTACTGCACGCAGACGCCCTGAACCGGCCACTGAGACCAGAGGTCCTGGCTCAAAATGGCGACCCCGGCCCCTCAGCCTGGGGCCGTGTGCAGAGGCGCCGCCCTCGACCCTCCGCCCAAGATGGCGGCGGGGCTGTGTGCTGAGGCCCTGCGCCTGCGCTGTGAGCTGCAACCGTGAGCGGCGTAGCCAGCCCCGCCAGCACCCCGCCCGCTCCCCTCCGCGGGTGAGGCCTCACAGAGCAGCCCGGCCCTCCGCCTCTCCGGCAGCCTGTCTCTATAGCGGGAACTCCAGCCCCTCCACGCCTTCATCGGACAACGAGGCTTTCCTCTGCGTCTTGACTGAGCGTGTCTCCTTCCATTGTCCCGAGTGTCACGGGGCAGGCGGACACTGGAGGTAGAACTGGCTCCGCAGGGTCGTAACAAAACCAGGTAACATGTGTCCAGCACCTCTTTGCCCCCACGTTTCTCTGCATAGACAGTTGTTTCCTCTGTCTGATGTGTCCCTTATTTACTGGTTCTTAGAGACAAAATCCTAACTGCCCTTAAGAAGAAAAGGAGGGATGTGTCTGACTCCCCACTTCCACTGCAGGGAGCACAGGTTTCATCCCTAGAGAGCGAACTAAGCTCTCACAAACCAAAAAAAAAAGGAGATGGTCCGGGGGTACGTATCAGGAACTACGTAATGTATTAATGTCTTTGTGTGCTGATACATTGTAACTAGACTTATTTTGGAACTCACTTTCCCTGATGGCTCAGCGGTTAAAGCATCTGCCCGCAATGCGGGAGACCTCGGTTTGATCCCTAGGTTGGGAAGATCCCCTGGAGAAGGAACTGGCAACCCACTCCAGTATTCTTGCCTGGAGAATTCCATGGACGGAAAAGCCTGGTGGGCTACAGTCCACGGGGTCCCAAAGAGTCGGACACGACTGAGCGACTTCACTTCATTTTGAAACATATAGAAGTATCAAATAGCTTTGTTATATAACTGGAACTGATATAGTGTTGTTGGTCAATTACACTTCAAAAATAAACTCAGAAAAAGAGATCCTTTTTCTCTTAGGAAGGGTTGAGGGGAGGGGGAATTGAATGAAGACAGTTGAAAAGTACCGACTTCCACTTGTAAGATAAGTAAGTACTAGGGACGTTCAAGACGGATAAGTATAATTAATGCTGCTGTGTGTTTTACGTGAAAGTTGAGAGTAAATCTTGAGTTCTCACCATATGGAAAAATATGTATCTTTTTATTTCTTTCATTTTGTATCTCTATGAGATGATGGATGTCATTAAACTTACTGTGGTCATCATTTCATACTTGTAAGTCAGTCAATATGCTTTACACCCTAAACTTGTACAGTGCTGGGATATATCAGTTATATCTCAATAAACATGAAAGGAAAAAAAGAAATGAAGAGAGGGAATCCCCACTGGCAAGTGTAGCTACTATTTGAATAAATGTTTTGAAAAATAGTTTGGCCATTTAGGGGAATTTCTATAGACAGAGTCCTTATTTTATGGGGCCTTATGTTTTGATGGAATAATTTATTGAAAACTTGAGATTCTGAAACTCTGCAGTATCACCATACTCTTCTTCAAGGAGAAGATGCATTTCCTAAGGCCTTTCTTCCTTGGAACTCTGGGTTCTTTTTAACCTCACTTGTTCACTGGTTTAGTAACAGGAATGGGTGCTTCTGAGGTGGCACAAATAGTAAAGAACCCGCCTGCCAATGCAGGAGATGGAAGAGATGTGCGTTCGATCCCCGGGTTGGGCAGATCTCCTGGGGGAAGGCATGGCAACCCACTCCAGTGTTCTTGTCTGGAGAGTCCCCATGGACAGAGGAGCTTGACGGGCTACAGTTATTAGGGTTGCAAACAGTCAGACATGACAGAAGCGAATTAGCACACTTGCATGGGTGCAGAGGAGAAATTTTCAAGTGCCCAGAAATAAATGGAATGATAATCTTAATGTCATTTTAAATTTAAGTGGCTAGAAATTACCTATGGGGATTTTGTCCTCTTATACTCTCTCTCTTCTCTTTCTTTTATCTTGAAGTGGTAGTTTTCAAGGGTGTCTTCATTCTTTCAAGGACGTTTATTGAGAATTTACCATGTGTAAGACATTATGCTAAGCAGTGGGTTTATGTATATAATAGAACATTAAACAGGTTAGGAATAATGGGGTGTAAACATAAAGCAATTTTATTTTATCTCCCACTATCACTTAAAACTTTATTGGGCTGGGAGGGGTTTCCTCTGCCCTTAGATGATTTTTCTTGATCATTTATGTTAATAGAAACTTCTGCAGTTGCTCTACGTTACTAAACACAGTTTTAGTTCTGAAATTAGAAATTTTTTTACTTCAACAGAATCTGTTTAATTGTATTTAAAAAAATTTTTGTTGAAATATAGTTGATGTACAATGTGTTAGTTTCTGCTGTCCAGCAAAATGAATCAGTTATACATATACCCACTCTTTTTTTTTTTTTTTTTTGTGAAAGACTCTTTTGCCATTTAGGCCATTCAGAGTACTGAGTAGACTTACCCGTGCTATCCTGGAGGAGGCCATGGCAACCCTCCTTGCAGTTTTCTTGGCTGGAAAGTCCCATGGACGGAGGAGCCTGGTGGGCTACAGCCCATAGGGTCGTAAAGAGTCAGTCACAACTGAAGCGACTTAGCATGCATGCATGCACCTGTGTGGTACGGCAGGGTCTTATTTGTCTTCTATTTTAGCTATATTAATAATAGTGTGTATCAATGTCAATCCCAGTTTCCCAATTTGTCCCTCCCCTCCTGTCCCCGGTAACCACGAGTTTGTTTTCTGCATCCATGACTCTGCTTCCATTTTGAAATTAAGTTCATTTGTACCTCCGTTTTTTTATATTCCACATCTAAGTGATATCATATGATATGTGTCTTTCTGTGTATGGCTTACTTCACTCAGTATGACTATGTCTAGGACCTCCGTGTTGCTGCAAATGGTATTATTTGCCTCATATAATAAGCCAATTTCTGAACTTGACTTAAATTAAGATCTCCTTCCCTTAGACAAGCCATCCAGGAAAGCCTACATCCAGTAACGAGGAATGTGGTCACCTTGTTTCGTCCTTCACTCTGTAGTCACACATCTGTCCAAAGGGGCTTCTGACCTTCTTCTTCAGAGAATTGGGATGGAGTTGAGGTTGGGCGAGCAGGGCAGTGACTGTCAGCGTTGTGAACTGCGTCCATGGTCTCTGGCCCCAGCAGATGTGTACGCTGACTCTTTTCCCTCTGAGCACTGTCTTGCGTTCTTTGGAGATTCTCCTCCCCTTGCTAGGAAACTCACATAGAAACCTTTCTGTTTCTGTTTGATTAGTTCTTGCTCAGGGGTCAAGGGTTTCCCTGGAAGATGCTGTCCATTTCTCAAGATATCCACACCCCTCTTTGCTTGGAGGGTGTATAGGTACTTCAGATCCTTAGGTCTCACTGCCTGCATGGGAACGTGCTCACACTTGGTCTCATGTTCTGCTCTGAGGTCCCGGAGACGCAATTCCGTTGGTCATGAGCCCTCCCCTGCAGCTTCAGAAAGCCAAGGTTTGACTCCTCCTCCAGGCCGAGCCCCTCGTCTGCCCTCTCCCCGTCCTCTTTTCCTTTGATCCACTTCTGAGCCCCGTTTATTGAGACAGAAGCTGCCCCTGGAAACATGCATCTAAATCACTCCATCTCAGAGTTAGCCGTGTAGCCTCTCTGGGTCTTCATTTTTGGTTTGGGAAGAAATATTCCTTGGAATGCCAGTGAGGGAACAAAGGGTGAGGGAGCCAGGCTGAAAACGCAGAGTGATCGTTCAAGACCCGCTCCTGCCGCACAGCTTGATCAGAGGGTCATCAGCGGGTTTGCTAAGAGGTGCTGTTTTTGCTGGTGCTGAAGGATAAGTTCACCTCTGAGGTAAAGTAAAGCAAAAGGATGTTCTTGACAGAAAGGATAGGGCCCCGAAGGGAAGGTGTCTGAAAGTACATGAAACGTTTGTGGAGACGGCTGCAGCTTTAGGGAGTGTGGTCGGGAAGATCCTTAATGAAGAAGTACTTAGTGTTTCAAACAAAGGGGTTTGGCATTTACCCAGCGGTCCCTAGGGACACTTGGGAGGTTGTAAACAGGGAGGTGATATGTTCCTAAAAGACAGTGACACCTAGGAAAAAACTTCCAAAAGATGTGTAAGGTATCTATGGAGAAAATGACAAGGCATGGGTGAAGGGCAGAACCGGGCCCTTGAAAAAGAGAAATCCTAAAGCCCTGGGCTGCCCATTCCAACAGCTGTGTTATTCGTTGGCCTGATTTTCATGTCTCTCTCCTCTGTCAATTGCTTTTCTGCTAGACGTGGAAACGTAAGGAACGGAAATAAAACTTATCCAAGTACTTCCTCCTCCCTTCTCTGCTCCTCTTCAGTGAGCTGTTGCAAAAGTCAAAACGAGACAAAGCAAGACCATTTGGGCTTTAGAAGTAAGTGGGAAAAAGGAAAGTTGTCAAGAAGGATATGTGTTTGTATATTCACTTGTAAAAAAGTGAATGAATAAATAAACAGTAGAGATGGTGGAGTTAGGATACTCATGGAAACAAAAATTGGAGGAGTATGCAGCAAACTGTAAATATTCATGTTTTGGTGTATTTTCAAGTATTATATCTGAAATACAGTATTTTTTATTGAAGTATAATTGCCCTACAATGTTGTGTTAGTTCCTGCCATACAATAACGTGAGTCCGTTCTGTGCACACAGATAGCCCCTCCTCCTGCGCCTCCCTCCGCCCCCCATCCCACCCCTCCAGGTCAGCACGGAGCACTGAGCTAGCTTTCTGTTACACGGCAGCCTTCCGCCAGCCGTCTGTCTCACACGTGGTCGTGTATATGTGCCAGCGCGGCTCTCCCGGCTCTCCCTTCACAGCGCCCACCCACTACACTGTGTCACGTGTGTTAGCTCTCTTTGTACCTGTCTTTTATCACAATCTATCTATGTAAACTCTGTGAGAGACTTTTCCTAGAAGAGTCTTTGATACATTGTAGGAATTCAATGTGTATCTGTTGAATAAGTGAGTCTATACATTATATATATATATATGTACATATATAGGATCCTTTACTTATAAACAAACAACGATTTTGCTTTTGTGTAACAAGGGTTGAGTTCTCAGCTCAGAACTTTGAAATCCTGGGAGGGGCAGCCTTGTTTGTGAGGCTGTGCTATGCACTGTAGGATGTTAAATAGCATCTCTGCTGCTGCTCAGTCACTCAGGCATGTTGACTCTCTGTGACCCTGTGGGCTGTAGCCCGCCAGGCTCCTCTGTCCGTGGGATTCTCCAGGCGCGTGTATTAGAGTGGGTTGCCGTGCCCATCTCCAGGGGATCTTCCCCACCCAGGACAAACCTGTGTCTCCCGCGCTGCAGGCAGAATCTTTACCAGCCGAGCCACCAGGGAAGCCCCTAATAGCGTCCCTGGTCTCTGTTCATTAGATGCCAGTAACTCCTCCCTCTGGAGAAGGCCATGGCACCCACTCCAGGGCTCTTGCCTGGAAAATCCCATGGACGGAGAAGCCTGGTAGGCTGCAGTCCATGGGGTCGCTAAGAGTCAGACATGATGAGCGACTTTACTTTCACTTTTCGCTTTCCTGCATTGGAGAAGGCAATGGCAGCCCACTCCAGTGTTCTTGCCTGCAGAATCCCAGGGACGGGGGAGCCTGGTGGGCTGCTGTCTGTGGAATCGCACAGAGTCGGACACGACTGAAGCGACTTAGCAGCAGCAGCAGCAACTCCTCCCTCCCTGCCTCCAACCAGTGGTGGCAACCAAAAATATCTCCAGATGTTGCTTAATGTCCTCTGGGGGTCAAAATCCTCCCCCTTTCCCTCGCTGAGAACCACTGCTATGGGAGAAACTCAGAGTCAGGTGCCTCTTAATCATTTTAAAAATGTGTAGCGCATCATGAGGTAAATGGCAAATTTCGATCTACTACTGTGCTGTTAGAGGGAAATGAGCTGAAAACTCTGTCATGGATTCTCATAGTTTAATGAGAGTTACTCAGGTCTCAGCCCCTCTCTACATTTTGGTTTTCTTGTTTAGTATAAATGCAATCCAATTTAATCTGCATATAAACACATCCATTGCATATTAAAATCAACATATTATAAGCATCAAGCTGAATGCTTTCTTGAAGGAGCAAACAAAAAATTCATACATATTAATATCACAGATAAGCCAATTATTATGTGAAGTAGTAAATAAAAAAACAATATGATTAATCTAAAACTGGGAGCTTCATAAAGCAAAATATATGATATTAAGATTAGACTGCTTTAGAAACAATATTATGAATCCTTGCATTTTACATGTAATTTGTTTAAAATTAATTTCCCAGTGTGCTATCTTATTTTTGTTTCACCTAGACCTACACTAATAAGTTTTATGAAACATTGATATTACTTAAAATCACAGTGTGGAGAAGATGCCATTTCTCTACTCTTAATTGAGGCAGAACACATGGGTTAGCTTCACAGTTCACAAGACCCTGAGGACCTGCAGGTATGCTGGGATATTTGATTATCTGCTGGAAGGAAGCAGTGATGCCGCTCACCTGGTTTATGAAACAATCAGCATTATTGTTTACATAACAACAACAACAATAATCTTTACAATAAAGAATACAATTTTTGAGCACTTACCGTGTGCCAAGCCCTTGGCATTATGACTGTGCATGTGTGTGTGTGTGGGTGTGCATGCTCATTTGCTCAGTTGTGTCTGACTCTTTGTGACCCCATGGATGGTAGACAGTGAGACTCCTCTGTCCATGGGATTTCCCAGGCAAGAATACTGGAGTGGGTTGCCATTTCCTTCTCCAGGGGGTCTTCCCAACCCAGGAATCGAACCCTGGTCTCCAGGAAGATTCTTCACCACTACGCCACCTGGGAAGCCCCTGGTGTGTTAACTCTTTGAGGGCAGGGTCAAGGTTTGTTCTTCCTTTTCTCCTCCAGAATGCAGGATGCATTGCTGGTACTTCAAGAAATACGAAGAAATAGGATTCAGTTTTACCTTGGTCTTGCCCCGGGACTTCCCGGGCTGTGATCTGTACTTTCCCGTCTGTTCTTTCCAGCCAAAGACCATCATGTTCGAGCCACAACCCTATGTATCTCATGCCTTCTTACACTTGAAGGTCCATTACAACCTTCGCCTCCTCAGTGAAAACTGCTTCTGAGCATCCCCTGGGCACTCAGTGTAACAGTTTAACAGTTTTCTCTTTTTAACCTTTGAAACATCTTATTATATTTGTAGCCTTTTTGCAAGCCACTGTAAGTTTCTGTATTGATCTATATTTTAAGAGCCTCTTCTGGTGCTTGGAACATACTAGGCAGGTAATATATGCTAGCTGTTCTTATTACATGCTTGTATTGTATATATGTGCCGGGGGGGGCATGCATTCAGATCCCTACAGGGTCCATCCAAATCCTAGCAGTGGACTTTAAGCAAGTCACAACCTCTTTGAGCCTCAGTTTCCTCATCTGTGAAACTGGATCATAATAATACCTACTTCATAGAGTAGATGTCCAGATTAAATGCACTTAAAATATGTGAAGGGCTTAGAAAATTGCCTGACTCATTGAGTTGTTAGCTGTTATTTTTATAGAGACCTATTAATGAAGTGAATCAAGCTGAAATTGAGAAATTTTTTCCCTTGAAGCACGTGAATTGCCTGACCTGGCTTAATTTCCCCAGTTTTAAAAGAGATGCGGGTATAAGGGATATTGCTGATATTTCTTAAGCTCACTATAAGGGAAACAGTAGCGCAAGTGTGATGATAAACGGTAGCCGAGACCCAGCCTCTCTGCAGAAGACATAGGGAGCGGTGGGGTCTGGGGAGAAATGGAGGCGCCCATGCTGTCTGAGGGGCAGCCGCTACTCAGCCCAGCCGTTGTGCCGTGGGAACGCAGGCCTTGTATTATCAGACTGTCAGGCTTTTAAAGAGGAGCCCAAACTGAAGTTTTATAGGAAGTCTCCTAGTTTTTAAATGTTGGCAGCCAAATAAATAAAATTCAGTATTTTCTGCACCTTCCCCGGTGGCTCAGTGGTAAAGCATCTGCCTGTCAATGCAGGAGACCCAGGTTTGATACCTGGGTCAGGAAGATTCCTTTGGAGATGGAAATGGCAACCCACTCCAGTATTCTTGCCTGGGAAAGCCCATGGACGGAGGAGCCTGGTGGGCTACAGTCTATGGGGTCACAAAACAGTTGAAGATGACTTAGCAACTAAACACACACACACACACACACAATATTCTCTGTAGTGTGACAAGACTGTACAAGACCCTGCATCTCTAGCCCCGCTTGGTCCCTGGGCCACCAGTTTGCAAGCTCTGTCTCATCTGACAGCTTCCTCTTGGGTTTGAATGTGACCTGCCCACAGAAGATATGTGGAATCACATTTTGGTCAAAGAACTCTGGAGCCTTTTCCATACATAAAATTCGGCTTATGATTTTTCTTTTAATAATCCAAAGGCTATTCCCCATTGTTGCTCTGTTTTTTTTGTTTTTTTTTTTTGTCTTTGTGTGCACATTGGTAACATGCCCTGAATGCAGAAAAGCCATAAACTAGGTCATTTCCTCGGACAGGGAAATTCTCTGAAGCAAAAGCAGCAAAAAAAGAATCCATCATTTCCTACTACAGAAGTACATACTTTCTCTCCAAAACCTACGCAGAGTTTGACACAATAAAAAACCACGTCTGACCAAAATGGTAAATTCATGCAGTTTAAAAATTTTAATCACCTTAAGCCGAATCCTAAATCGGTTTTCCAGCAAGAACACAAATCAACTGCTTAGCTTCCCCTTAAGAAAATGCTGACCTCTACAAGAAACACAGTTATTTGTTTTTTATTTTTTTCTCCTTCCCTTCTGGATGTTTTTTTTTTATTTTATTTTATAGAATTTAATAAAGGATGAAGTAACAAATGAGGAGATAAAAATATTCCTGAACACTCTAGGGCAACTGTGGGTTTGTAAACAGATATTGTAGCCAGTCCCTCAAGTCACATCAGTATTTGACTTTATAATTCAAGCTCTGTTTATTACTAAATTTAACTTGTATCTGTGTGTCTCTCCCTGAATTCAAGTAAATGGCAGCCCGAGACTATAACATGCCAAATTATCCGTTTCATCGGCGCTTCTGTCAATTTATGTATCTGTCGGTGCATTGATCTCTTTTAACGTGGTCTTTCAAGGAAGACATTTCTATATCTTTGTTTCTTATTCCTCCTTGTTTACGGAGAGCTGGTCCTCCCCTGTCTTTCAAATTGCCCTCTCTTCTCATCTACAAATGTTCATGATATAGATATATTTTTTATTATTCCCTCTAACCTTTCTTCTTCTCATCTCTTTTATGATTTCGACTGTGTCATCAGAAACTGACTGCTGAGGCTGCCAATTAGCCTTTGTCAGCCCTGGTCTCAGCCTCTGCATGCGCGTGCAGGACTGGAGGGCAGGCCCTGTTTCGTGTGCACTGCTTGTCCTCACGTGGAGATGCACCATCACCAAAGGAAGAGCGGTAGATGGACCCTGATGAGCTGCTGACGAACTTCCTGTTGTGAGTGTGTGGTGGCAGGGTAGTGGGGGGTGGGCAGCTCGGGCAGGAAGGAGAACCAAGTCCTGACCACCTACCTAACTGACCAGGTGCCTTTTCAGCTCTTCACCAAGGTATCAGTGGTTCTGAAATGCTTCCCAGCATAATGTTGGCGACCTGTGTCGGTGAGTGCAAGTGGTGGTGGGGGGGAGCACGGTGACAGAGATAACCTACTGTTTTCTGTCCCCTGGGTTCCATCTGCCCAGCTGGCCTCTGTCAAGTGGCTCCCCTCCCTGATGACTGTTTCAGGGTACCCTGCGGGGTCCGGTAAGTGAGACGGTGACCCTGGGTTCAGCATTTAAGGGGACC